TGACAGCTTTATTGAACATTTTTTCACAAGATCGGAAACAACCTCGTCCGACTGAATTTTGAACAAAGGTTCTAGCGGATCAATTCTTTTTGCAAGCTCAGCACAAGAAGCCATGGTGTCAAGCACAAACAATAGCAATATATGAGCACTTGCAGCAGCGGCGGTCACCGAAGAAATGGTAAATTGTACTACTTTAAGGACCTGTAGTGGCACTAACCTGCAAAAGCAAGCAGTGTGATCCTTGGAGTTGTTGCTTTCAACCATGACCACCGCTCTCGAGTGATGCTAAGTCGATCTCGCCGCCCCTCTTATAAGCTGAATCAACCAAGCACCAATCAAGAATCAACCAAGAATGAACCAAGCAGCTGCGCACTGCCGATGATCGACTTGGGTAGATCGTGCAGGAAATCCACGCAGATTCCACCAGTGACGCACGAGACAGGTGATAAAACCAAAGCAAGAGCATCACGTGGGCTGAGGTGACCATACACGGGTAGGTGTAAACCACGAGCACTGCAAAAGCAAGCCGAGTGATCCTTGAAGTTCGTTGCTTCTAGCCATGATCACCACTGCCGAACGATGCCAAGTTGATTTCTTCGTCCCTCTTATCCGGAAAGAATCAACCAAGCAGCTGTGCAGTGCCGATTATCGACTTGCATTGATTGTGCAGGAAATCCACGCAGGTTCCACCAGTGACGCACGAGACAGGAGATGAAACTGAGGCAAGGGCAACATGTTGGCCAACGTGACCGCACACGGCTAGGTACAGACGACAAGCACTAGTCTTCCTTGAGCTCACCAAGTGTAACTTTGGTCAAGTTTCATGCAGGCGTGAGCCCTGAGAAAGTGAAGCTGCTAGACATACTATACGTTTATGTGGAAATCTTTGTTTCTTTACACTGCCTTGTTTTTTTTTTTTTTTTCAAAGTGATCTGAAAATTGTGCGAAAAGGAGACCTTTGTCTTGCAGCGGACACATAAAGGCTGATAAGGGCAATAAAATTTGAAATGGTAATTTGTTTAGCTCACCTCATGTGCAAGGCAACTAAAAACAGCTATGGCAGGACTTGCACTTTTTGAGGCTAGCATGTCAAATGAGAACTACACCAAAAAACTGCACGAAAATTCGTGCTATTTTCGGGTGCTCTAAAACTGATCACACTTTAAATCTGAGCCAAAAAAAAAAAACACATAGTGTATGGTGCCTGTCGGCCATATCTTTCATTTTGTGCCGTAGTTTCAAGTATGGAATAATGACACGAACAACGCCTCACCGTATTAAAGGGGTCATGACACCCAATTTTCGACCATAATCTGTGTTGTGTGGGTTGGTCCCTGTATGTTCACAAGCAAGCTGGCGAAATTTCAGCTCATTTGGTCGTGTCAGTAATTTATAATGGAATATTTTTATAAACGAGCGAGCGACCTAGTGGTCGGGCAGCACTGGTCCGCTCGCTAGCCCTGACTTAACCAACTGATTGCTCCACGAGCTTTTGCATGGTGTGCAGTACGGAGGGCGATCGTGTTTCACGGTCAGCCGCACTGGCAATCGATTTGTTTCAGTGTTATTCAATGTGCCACTGGAACTGAATGACTTGCAGCGGTCGAAGCAATGCCACCGCATTGCCCATGCTGCGCTTTGGTGTGACAACGTACAGAGCAGGGAGAAGTCTCATTCTTCAAGTTCCCTAAAGCGCCCGCCAAATGCAAGGCTTGGGAGGTAAACATGCGCAGGAAAGACTGGTGTGCAAGTGACGCATCTGTTTTGTGCTCAGCGCACTTCACGGCAGACACCTACAATGATGACCAGCGTCGTTCTCGGCGAGTTCGGTATACCAGTGAAAAGGCCGAGGCTGTGGCCGGACGCTGTGTCGACCGTGTTTTTGCATCGTCCCGTCCTCCAAGCTAAACTTTGGGGTGCTCGCGAATACAGTGTCTCTTAATCGTTAAGCTCGCTTGTCAACCTGGCACACTTAAAATAAAGCTATTTATCATTGCGGAAGGCCATCCGCAACAGCACCGCGGTCGTTGGCATCTGGGTTCGCCCCGTCTTCGACGCTTCTTTGTAGCTCGAGCTGGTGGCGATGGGGTCGAAATCAAAAAGCGCAGTATGAATGACGTCGTCGCCGCTCTGCTGCTCGATGAATCATTGTCCAAATCTTGAGCTGAAAATGGTGCCGACGACATGGAGATGGTACCGGTACCCCTTCAAAACACTTGCGACACGTGCGCACCGCGCGGCATGCAACGCTCGCTACACAATGAAACGCGGACTGCGCGCCGAAAGGGTCGTTTTATAGCAGACGATGGCACTGCTCCCATCAGTTTGTGATGTCACGCACACCACGGCAAAATGGCAGTCGCCGGCGGTGGGCGGAGTTTACAGCTGAAGACTTGTAAAGCTTATTTTGTACTGAAATAATCTTTCACAGTCTAGTTTAACACGTGTACAAGCATATTCGACCCTCTACGTTTGTTTTTTTTTGCCGAAAACCGCAAATTGTTAGGTGACCATGTCGTGACCCCTTTAAGAAATTTGCAGTTTATTTTTTTGAAGCTGCCTCTTCTTTTCTCAGGGAAGCAGTGCTTGTACGCTACATGCAGCTTAACTACAGTACAACTAATTAAAGTCTGTTAAACCGAATTGAAGCTTTCGTTCGCCACCCCTGATCATCTATAGTTGAAATCAAATTCTGTTAATCTATGTTAGTCTGAACTGAACCGAAATATGTTAAACTGTGGAGTATGTCAACTATGTACTTGCAGACGACTTTTATTGCCAATGAAAAGAATACTACGAGGGCGGATCTTCTGCTCATGTACTTCTTGGCAAAGTAGTCCGGATAGGCTCGAGCTTCGAATGACGACCATGTTTTAATAATAATATTGCATACCATTTACTTCGTCTGCTTAGAAAGCTTTCTGGGAGTGAAATTTGTCACAAGCTCCCTTGGCGAGTCGTCAGAATAGCTGGAGGGTAATGAGTACTCACCGAAATAGGAAAGCACCATTTTGACTGTGACGTGCTTGTAAGACATGCGACGTTTTCACATGTGCAAAAATGCAAAGTGAAACTATAAAGTGAAACAAATATGAATATCTCATCATTGCGTGCTACATCTCTTTATGAAAATCATCATACAGAAAATAAACTATTAGTTTTATTTTCGCAGGGAAAACATGGACACTATTTCTCAACTGTGGCACTGCTACTCTGGCTTCATAGCCTTTCCTTCATTGTCAAAAAAAGTTGTCCGGGAGTATGGAAAGTAGTATTCGTCTAGTTCTTTGAGGTTCTTTTTATTGACAGTCTCCAAAGGTAATCCACAAAATTTTTAAATGGCACACAGTGTTGCTTTCATGTTTGAAGGTGGCAACTCCAATTGCATATTTGGACATGTCTTGTTGGGATGCAGTTATATTATTAGTAATATGCACGAACATTGAAATTGTATACTGGCTAAGAAGGCTTAGGTAATCTGGAAATAAACTACTTTTGAGACAAGTGGTCACACTGATTGTAGACTGATGTACGGAAAGTAGTGAAACGGCATTAGACTAGCGTTTCAGGTTCTTTTGAATGCAGAACAAAAAAGACTGGTTTATTCAGGTCGATTGTTGTGTTAGATGGTTCCGTATAATTTGATGTTTACCGGTGCAAAGAAGGCGGACCTGTGTGTCATTTTATGTCATCCATTTGCCTTGTCCTGGAAAACATTGAGTTTATAATACACCCAAGTTCTATGTGCTCAAAAATGCATAGAAATCGAAAATGTTCATAAATAGCTGTATATCATTTATGAACACAAGCTTGCACAACATCAAATTCCTTGTTTTTGTTTTTTTTGACAGGTTGCAGTAGTGTTGCTCAATTTTTTTTTATTATGGGCATGGGACTTGATTGCACGTATAAATTTTGTTTTTAATTCTCTAAGCCTCTGCTGCTCTCCTGCCTTTTTCTCTGTTCTTTATCAAAATCATGCTATATCAACTTACAAAAAAAAATTAGTTTTGTAGTATTTAGCGAATGTGCACTGTAATAAAAAGGAGATGATGAGATCGCTTCAAGAATAGGGGTTCTTTTGAGTGCTCCTTTTTTTGCAATGAATGCATACCTTTCCCTGACCTGGGAAACCAAAAATTAAATTATTTTGTATGAAATAGACTTACACTGTTTCATTATAGTTGCTGTTATTATGTCATGTCAATGACATAAGCTAGTTGAGATTGGTTTTAACCTTGATTTTATTCTTAGCTTAACAGCCAAGTCTAACAACAGTTTCAAAGACGATAGTCTTTCTTGGGGACCTTCGAAGGAAAAATTTTGGTCTGTCTGTCTGTACATTTGTCTGTTTGTCTGTCCGTAACGATGCCTCAAACGACATCAAATGGCCGACCCTATCCGCAGCGCTCACCAATATTGCTCAAGATTAAGCGTTCATAGTTGTGCGATTGTCAATTAATAAGCAATTATTGCGCATATCTGAGGCGCCATAGCAACACGTCGATGGTTTGTATGTGTGCCTTTATACTAGAAGAGGCACACACAAGTAACTATAAAGACTGTAGGGTTTCTTGCGCTGCGCTGACAGTGCAACATGATGCTCGAAAAGGTAAACGTTTCCAACGCTGTGCTAAGACGACACGGTGGTTGCACCTGCCCGTCGCTTTGCCTTCTACACTTTATCACCACCGAGACAGGCGCGCATCTTTCTCCGCGAGAGCACACGCCTTCGTTTTCGTAGATAACTGCCAGATAACGCTCTAGTCTAACGTGCCTCGATATGCTCGTTCGCCTCCGCTACACGCTCGAGGCACTCTAACGCAGCGTCTCCAGAATACCATTCACCGATTTTCTTGCGCGGAAAATCAAATAAACATTTTGTTCACTCTCTCAAGACGCAAGTTTATCGCCTTTCGACGAGATTTGCAGTGTAACATGCAGATTCGGGGCCAATTTTTTAAATTTGTGATGTGTTGACATGTATCATGCATGTGCAGTGCTCAGGGTCGAGGATCATGGCAGCCAGGCGTCGTCTCATCGACATCGGAGCCAATCTGACCGGTTGGTGATCACTTTCTGTGCACACTCAATAGTTCTATTCGTATTCAATTCAATGGGCTATCCACATTCAGTAGTTTGCACCGATCACCTCCCTCAGCACAGCCAAGGGGCAGGATTTGGATGCTTGTAACGATGGCCTTGCATTGATGGCCTTGCATTGCTGTAATGTATAAAGCTGGTGCGAATATCCTGCTCATATTGCAGTGTTCATTGTGTATCCTAAATTTGGTCTCGGATTGTATATGTTGTAACACAGAGCTCTCAATCCCTATCAAGCATTTAATACATTCGTAACTCGTATGAATGGAAAATGAAATTGTGCAGATCCCATGTTCCGTGGCCTGTACAATGGGTCACGTAAACACCCTGATGACCTGGATCAAGTGCTGCAGAGGGCGCAGGCTAATGGAGTGCACAGGGTCAGTACCTTTGCTCTTTCTCAGTGTTGTGTGTGACAATATGGCTGAACGATAAGCAAGAAACAGCTGGTAAACATTCATTGTAACTCTGGAGGCACAACACAAAGAATGACAAGACAAATGTACGTGATTTCCAACTTTTTACTGTGCGTGAAATAAAACTTGTTGTGTGTAGAATGCTGTTTTCAAATGCACACTATTTGTCTTTTGGAAATAATGTACTATGTTCACCAAATGTGGATTCAGGTTTCTTTTTTATAGAGGGAAGGTCTGACTTACTGGATAATAAAACTGCGAGTTGGTTCATGCTTATTTCTGATTTGAGACTCACACAGCACTGAACACAAAACTGATTTGTTACTTTGAACGCTTGGCCATTTTAAGGCACACATCAAAGCAATGGTAAGAATTACTAAATGAAATGAAGCAATCAAAAATGCCTCTTGACAACACTTTGCCAAAAAATACATTCAAACAATGGTAAGAGTGCAATGAAAAATCTTAAAACATCAAGTGCACCCCTGATGTACAAAACAAGAGTAGAAAAATATTGTTACAAGCAACTTCTTAATGACCTATTTATGATGCACAGAGCTCGACAAGCAAGATGGTGCCAGTTCAGCAACAACCAAAAACTGACTTTGTCTTTTTCTTTCATGCAGCCGCGTTATGGTGGCTATATTATTGTCACGTGGTCATGACGTTGATGAAGGCAGCAGCTGGTATGTCCAAGATGAAGCTGTTTATGAGGCTGTAATTGTGGCCAGTCTACGGAAAGTCAGATTACAGCGATACACACTGGCAGTGACAGTGGTGAACAGAGCGTTGGCCGTCGATTGACTGAGCATACTGCGTAGTGCCATCTTTCATAAATCATGTGTCGAACTTCTAATTCTTATCGCTGGTCATTGTGCAAGCTCTGGAATAAGCCTGAGTGTCCGTGTCGTGTCTGCTATCTTAACAAAACAGTTCACTACAATCCTGACGCTTCTTAAACACTGAGGCGCAATCTGCGCCAAGCATTGCTGACAGTCTTTGTGGATTTAAACTGAGCATAGGAAAATAACATGTGTAGCAATATGATTAAACCTGAAACCAACTAACAAACACGTTAAGTCCAAACAAGCCACTACAATTACATGGGATGCCGACTGGAAATGAAAATTTGATCAGATGCTCTTCGTCAGTAGAACTGACATTGTGTATGATAACAAATGCGATGAGTAATAAATGTACCCGTACTAGATGTCACAATGCTGTAGCAGCTAGAGAGAACGACATTTTCAGTTTGTAACGCCCAAGCACAAGCACGTGCCTATGAACAAACAAAAAAAAAAAAACATCGCTGTAGCAGCATATGTCAAGATACAGATGTATAAAAAAAGTGAGAATGAAAAAAAGCTACTGCAATATCGAAATACTATATTCCTAAAAATTACGGCAACAGGTTAGTCATAGCAGCCTTAAACTTAGAGCTATTAGTAATTTCGGCTACAGATCGGGGAAGGGGATTCCAACTTGCTGACGTACGGGGGATGAATGAATTGTAAAAATGGTTGGTGTGGCGCGTGGAAATGCCAACCTTATGACTATGGTCGATGCAGGCTGATACATAAAAAAAAGAAGTTATCCATTTATTCTTAGACCGGATTGTCATAATATATCTTGTAGAATAGGTAGAGGCGGGATTATTTCTATGTTGTGAAAGGAGAGGTGATGATAAAGTTGTTTTCATGGAAGTGACGCTGGAGGTGCGATGATAGTTGGAAAGAATGAAACGAGCAGCCCAACTTTGAATGGATTCAAGCTGACGAATGAGTGTTTCTTGGCTGGGGTCCCACACAGATGCAGCATATTTCATTTCGGAATGGACAAATTATTTATACAGAAGAAATTTTATCGGAAAAGAAGAAAGATGAAAATTACGGCATATGAAGTTAAGCGTGCCATTAGCGCTATTGGTTACATGGGCTACTTGCATTTCCAGGAAAGATCAGAAGAGATGAGTACCCCTGGATATTTATAACATAACACAGGTCATAGCCACGTACTTAATATTATTAAGATGATAAGAGGTCAATGTTGTATCGCGACGTGAAGCGCACATGTGTTCTCATTTGTTCGTGCTTAATTCCATGTTCCATGTGTTAGTCTAGTCACGAAACCGGTTTATATCTGACTGAAGAACATCAATGTCAGAGCCTCTGTTAATAACATAGTCATCGGCAAACAGGTTAATTGATGAACATAGGTTATCAGGTAAGTCGTTCATGCAGATGTGGAAAAGCAAAGGAATAGCAAAAACAGAGCCTTGAGGCACACCCGATTCAACTGCAGAAGTGATGGGTGAGGTGTTATTCACAGCGACGTAGTGGGAACGGTCAGTGAGGAAAGAGGGAAGGCATTGTAGAACGTTAGGATTAATGTTAAGTTTGCTGAATTTTACCAGAAGCAACTGATGAGAAACCTTGTCGAACACTTTTTAGAAGTCTAGGAATATGCATATTCCTAGAAATCTAGGAATTTGAAATCTAGGAATGGAACTCCTTTCAGAAATGAAATTTATGTCATGTGTGAATGTCTAAAGTTGTGTTTTACATTAGAATGACTTGCGAAATTCCTGCTGTTGATCTGTAAAAAAGTCATTTGACTGTAGAAAAGATGCTAAACGAGAGCAAATAACATGTTCAATAATTTTACATGAAATGCACATGAGCGAGATTGGTCGATAATTATATGGAGAATGCCTATCCCGAGACTTGTGCAAGGGAATCACCTTCCCTACCTTCCAGTATTCCGGAATGCAACCAGTCTGAAGCGATTGCTCAAATATATTAGTGAGAATAATGGCACTGTACACTTTAGTACTAATTGAAAACTTTGCATTGATGTCGTCAATGCCACATGATGATAAAACTATGTTTTGTATTATTTTTTTATGCCAGCAGCATCAAAGACAATAGGGTTCATTGTTAAGAAATCAGAACTGGCATAGGTGAGAGTTATGAAACGCACATTTTTTGAGAAAGCAGAAACAAATACAGAGTTTAAAACATTTGTTGATTCGTCAAGTTTGATTATGTAATTGTTTGAATCTTTAAGGGAGATTGAGGAATTGTCTCTTGTTCACTACATTCCGAAATTGCTTAGGGTTATTAATTAAAAGAGATGGTAATATAGAATTGAAAAACGAATTGTTAGCATTATGAGGGCTTGTTTGTGTTCCATAGCCACGGCCTGATAATCACTCCAACGTTCTTCAGGGCCGATTACCTTTGCAGAGCTGAAAATTCGTTTTTTCTTATTGCGTAGTCGTTTTAGCGATTGACTGAACCATGTCAAGTGCAGGTTAGATGTGATGACTATGCACGGCACATTTTTCTATGAGTTATAGAACCTTTTCTTTGAATAAAGTCCAGTTAGCATTTACGGAGCGATCATAAAAGTTGTGCATGTAATCACTTAAAAAAGCTGAGAGATCATGATTAATAGCATCGAAACCTGCACGCTTGTAGTCCTGGATATATTTCTTGTGGTTGCTACTGTGAGGTACTGTGCAGGTGAAAGAAAAATGAAGCAGCAAGTGGTCGCTTAGCCCCTGAAGTAGGATTTGGAATGGAAAAGTTCAGGCACAGCGGTGAGTACTAGATCTAAGATGTTAGATGGGGTAGATGCAATTCGTGTTGCCTGTGTCACTAGCTGGGACAAATTAAAATCGTTGCACACATTCAAAAACTCGTCTCGTACTGGAGAAAAGATGACAAGTGGAATGCACGTTAAACCAAACTATATTCGGGAAGTTCAAGTCGCCTAGTAAAAAAGGCGGACTATTTGGATACGGTACTGTTAGCATGAAAATTACATAATGAAGCTTGTCGAAAAAAGTGGATGAGCAAAATGGTGGTCTAAAGCAAGCGCCCTATGTTAATATCTTACAACACGTTTGTATTTCAACCAAAACAAGTTTTAAAGCATAACTAAAATGAATTGAAAAAGACAAATCTTGTCAGAAACCGCGGTGAGCACGGCTCCGCCACACGGAACACCTCTGTCACACGGGTAAATGTTGTAGTGCTTTTTGCAATCAAATAATTCACTGTTATCAACCTACACAGACAACCAGGTTTCAGTAAGACAGATTATGCCGGCATCAGAAGCATCGATAGCAGAGCAGAGGTCTCCACGTTTTGGAATTAGGCGAATATTTGTGAAAAGAAACCAAAGTTGGCTTGCAACTGGTAGTTTTCATCCAGTTCTCCTCACGAAGCACTCTTCAGCGGTGTGCGACATTAAGGCATAAGGTGATTCATGCGCGAGACGTGACGTTTCGACGGATGACATTAAGGATCTAGAGATTTCATGCACGCAATCATCAGCGGGGCCGTAGATGTAGCACTTTTTATTTACATACAGCTTATTAAAGCGAAGCTTATAACTTGAGGGTTGGGTCTTGCCAAATTCAGCCAGTTTCTTTCTGGCAAGGCGAGTAGCTGGCGAATAGTCCTCACTAACGGTAAAATTTTCTTCTATCAGCTTAGAACTACCCAGAAGCATTTGCTGCTTGAGCTTGAAGGAAGAAAATTTGGCAATGATTGGCCAACATTTAATGGAAGAATAGCTGCCAAGCCTGTGTTTCTTTCGATTAGTGTTTCAGAGGATGTTATTTTCAATCTCGATGAAAAAATATTCATGAACTTTTCCTCTGACTACGCCCAAGACTGTGACTGCACATCAGGTGGTCCATAGAATAAGAGGTTGTCTCGCCGCTGCATATCCTCGAGCTCACCTTGCCTAGCACGCAGTTGATCGTTTTCGCTGCTAACATGGCTAATCGACTGGTGAAGGCGCTCTATCTCTTCCAGAACATCCTCAATTGTGACCGTTTTACGCCCTCAGGTAATCATTTGTCTAAAACAGTAAAATTTTCTCGAAAACTCACCTGTGTCTTTTTGGGCTCATCAACAGATTTGAATAGATCTGTCTGGTCCCTCTCCATTTTT